CTGTTGATCTGCCTTTTCTGTAGGCATGTTGTTGAGGGTGCAGCGGAGCTTTACTTAGTGCTCCATCCCTAAGGTGTCGGTCTACCAGTCTTTCCAATGTTTTTAAGAGAAAAGAGGTTAGGCTTATTGGTCTGAAGGATTTGGCTTGTGTGTAGTCGTCCTTGCCTGGTTTCGGTAGGAAGACCACTTTTGCCTCTCTCCATGGTTTTGGTATGTACTTGAAGGCCAGGCAGGCCCTAAAGATAGGTTGTAGGTATCTAATTGCCTGACCTAGTTGCCATTGTAGTAACGCCGGGAATATGCCATCTAGTCCCGCTGACTTAAATGGTTGAAAGCTTTTTAGAGCCCATTTTATCTTTTCCGCCGTTACTATTGTTTTTGCCAGGTCCCATTCCTGGGTTGTTGGTGCATTGTGGTGCTCAGTCGTCCACTCCAGGCCTGGCGCCAGTTGGCATCCTGGGAAGTGGGTTTCCAGTAGCACCGCATTGGCTTCTTCTTCTGTTTTTGTATAAGTGCCGTCTTCTCTTTTCAGAGATCCAAGGAGGTTGGAGTTGTCCTTGGACAGAACTTTCTTGAGTCTGGCAGCTTGATTTGTTGAATTGACACTACTACAGAAACCGCGCCATCCTTCTCTACTCCGGAATCTGATCCGCTTCTTGTAGTGTTTTTGTGCTATTTTATATCTGTCCCACTCCTCATTGGTTCTGGTGTTTTTCGCTCGATTGAAAAGTGTCCTGAGTTCCTTACGTAGTTTCTCAAGTTCTGGCCCCCACCAGGAACTTTTACCCAGGCCTTTCGGTACGATGGTAGGACACGTCAGTTCGTAGCTTTTAAGAAGCGCTGAAGTGAAGAACTGTACGTTTGTTTCTATGTTGTTTATATCAGGGATTTCATCGTGTATTTGCATCTCGCTTAGTGTTTTATTTATTAGTTCTACGTACCTTGCTATATCTGTTTTTCGGGGGTTGCGATATGGAACAGGGTCTATTTGTCTGTATTGCAATTGGAAACATATCCTGCGGTGGTCTGCAAAGGAGGGTTCGTTTGACACGTGCCATCCTTCGATTAGATTGGCCACCGCGTGTGTCGCTAGTGTTATATCTATGATAGTTTGGTACCTAGAGCTAACAAATGTGGGCTCCGTCCCAATGTTCATGATGTTAAGGTTGGTTTGGAATAAGTATTCAGTTAATAACTCACCCCTTTTGTTTGTGTCCTTACTTCCCCACAGTGAGTGATGTGCGTTGCAGTCTGCCGCTACAATCAGCTCCCATTTGTGGTCCTCGCAGTGTCGTACCAGCTCGGTCAGCTCCCTCGGAGGAATTTCCCCCTCATTCGGCATGTAGACTGAAGCTAGTACCAGGACTGTTTGGTTATCTGTGGGGATCGTCACAGCTGTGAGGTCTCTAGAACAGAATTGGTTAAGCATGGTTGTTTTTATAGACTTGGGTGTAAAAATACATGTCCTTGGTTTATCGACAGATGTGTTTAAAAGTAACTTACCACCGATGTTGTTCAGACCGCAGATCCTATTATTTCTGATCCAGGGTTCCTGAATCAGGGCGACGGTCATGTTGTTTGTCTCCAGCACTCTGCGTAGTGTGGCCGCCGCTATCTGCTTGTGCTGGAGATTGGTCTGGATTATACTGATGGTGCTACTAGGGACTGCGAAGGACGCTATCTTCGTCGCTGACGCTGTCCTCAGAGCTCAGGTCTGCTTCCTCCTCCATCGCGCTCGGACCCGGTTGGGGAGCTGAGGTGGTGGGTGTCGGGATCGCAGCGCCTTCCTGCTCTGTAGTAGCACTCGGTGTTTCTACTGTCGGGTCAACCACTGTTGCTTCGTCTGTCGCGAAAAAGCGGATATATCCGCTGCCAGACATGTGTGCAACACGGCGTTCCCTGTCCAGTATTGCTGGTTTTTGGTCTTCGGGTATTCCAAGGATCAGGTGGACCACCTTCTCCTTAGAGCTGCTGTCCGGTTTGTCATCCACGGTCAGGTCGTAGCACTGCCAGGACTCAACCTTGTACCAGGGGTTCTGGGCACAAAGGAGTTTCTGCAGTGTGGCAGACTCAGTGATGCGGGTGTGGAGAAGAAGCCCAGCTCTGAGTTTCTTCTTCACATCCGACAGCCTAATGACCGTCAATGTGGTGTTCTGTATGGGTGACGGGATGGTTTTCACCATTTGTTCTAGCCACTTGAGTGCGTTCTCATCCTCACACCACATCGCTAGCACCCCGTCCGAAAGGAAGGGTCGCCCGCGGAAAGCTGGAGCCTGCGCATCTGGAGACTGCGGAGTCAGAACTGCCTGCAGGATCCCATCGTCGATGGTCTCCTTCAGCTGTTCCGCCTGCTCAGCCGAGAGGTCCCTCGGCGGGACGGTGGTGACCGCTACTCTCAGATGCGATTTACTCGCATCTGCGTAGCTCACCGTCCGCTTCGTCTTCGCGTCGGTTTTCGCGCGTTTGGCATCCCCCCTTGGAGACTGCGTGTCGTCCAGTCGTGGCCGCTTCGTAGAAGCTGCCTCGCCCGAGCCACACGCAGCTCCAGGCTGCTCCTTTTCAGGAGCAGTGGGAGCCTCCGCAGCGGTCCGCCGACCACGATCACCCCTCGGTTTCGGTCTCCGTCGTGGTGTTTTGTGTGCGTTTGTGTTGTCTGTATTGTCGGCCCTCTGTATTTCTACAGACTCGCGCTGTGTTTCCACTGCTGCGGTGACCGACTGTGTACTGTTAGGTTTGGTTTTGGGCTGCAGGGCTTCCCTTCTCGCGCGCCGGTTGTGGCGACTGCGTTCTGTTCGGCCCTGCGAACCTTTGTTTGTGTGTTTGTGGGTGGCCGCCGCACTAGCAGTCTTCCCTTTGCAGGGGCGCTTATGGGCGACCACAGTCCACTGTGTTTGTGCAGGTGTTGTATAGCTTGTTGTGGCTGAAGTTATGGCCTCAGCTAGGCCAGACAGGTCCAGGCTTGCGCCCTTCCCTGAGCGCTGATTGTCCCCCCCAGAATACGCGGGACAGACCAAGCTAGGCTTGGTGAGGGATTCTTCGCTATTCGCGATACCCTCCTGGGGTACTGCTTTCTCTTTTTCAGCACTCATGTTTTGGGTTTGGGGCTTTGGCGGGAATGCCAAATAACGCACACGACTCCTGCCCAAGGGTGTGTGGTACAATATTTTAGGGGGTATTTAGTTCCCCTAGGCCATGTGAGCCCGGGTGTGGATATGCGCCGCCACGGTTCGGCTATGCGGGATTTGAGGTCCGGCCAGAGGTTTCTGTTACGTCAATTACAGAAGGTATTTGACCAATAACGGGCGGCAACCTCGTGAAGGATAGTCCTCTGGCCTTGATTAGGGGATCCTTGCGACTTGCGCTACTCCCTAACCCGTTCGCCAAACTCAGTATCGGACAGATACTGAGAGTAGGTGATCATCAAGCAAGTTTCTTGTTTGACCATCCCCCGCCCCCTTCAACTGCATAAAAATACATCTGCCCCTGAACCACCTGACCTGTATCTCAGGTGCAGCGCTCTTTATAAACGAAATACTAGCTGTTTTAGATGTTGTCAACGCATACAGACATATATTTCAAAAATAGGATGAAATGAGCAGGGCCCTACCTGACGCCCTGAACAGGGCCACTAAAAACCAGACAATACTCCTGCACCAGTCACCCGACACGCATTGAGAGCACCAAGGTCTCCCCAATGCGTGCCGAGATTACGGGTGTGGTCGCGGCAACCGTTTCTGACTGGCCACGCACCCACAGGTGCGTGAGAGGTGTGGGCCCTGGGGCACGGAGTAATGGTAGCCCTAAATGTAGGCCGGGTCTCTGACGATTTGCAACCAACTTCCCGATTCTTGGTTAGTGATCAATCGACATTTTTATTCTATCTCTCTTGTGGGGGCCCCTGGGCCACAACCCCGCCTGTCTTACCTTAAAGCCGGACCTGTAAGTACCTATGAACGTCAGCTATGCGAGTAAGGCTTAAGTAATTTAGCTTGGTAATATACCTACTTATTTAAACTTGATTACCTGTTTCAGGTCCGTATCTATTTGTAAACCATATTTAAGGTGAAAATGTAGTGGTAGTAACAAAAATTTTATATACCTACCATGTAAACACTCACCTACGTTTCACAAATAAAATTTTGATTCCGGTTAGTTGTGTATGCTTGGGTTGCCAGGTTGCAAAACCTAATAGCCGGACAGACCAGCCAGTTTGGCCGGACATTTGAGTAAAACAGAAAAAAGATAAGACAAAAAAGATTTTGTGACTCAGTAATATTAGGTAGTTACGACAAAAAAAAATACGTATAATGCGATTCAAATAAGAATAGGAATGACCTCCATCTGTCAAATATCGCTTGAAAAGTACGGCTTGCAAAAAATCTTGGAACCCTTTTTTAGCACTCAGCTAATTATGGAATAAAAACCAAACATTTGTAAACAAACAAAAACAAATATTGTTAATTAATATTGGTTGATATTTTATTTTCATTTATTGAGCTTTGGCTATGAATGTTTGATAAACTAAATCGTCAACCAAATGTCACTTTAAGTTGCGTTCAGAAACTTGATTTAAAACTTTGGTTTACATATAGGATGCATGTTCGTATGTAACCTAGTAATAGTGCATGATTATTCATAACTACTGCGGCGGTAATGCAGAGATGAGCGGAATTGAAGAGCTTAATTCTGATTAATGTTTTTTCTCGCACTGTCTTAATAAAAAATATTATTAAAAATAGGTTATTTTCTTTTCTCAATTTAAGTAAATAAATTTTATTAAAAAAAAAACTTTTTTGCTCACTCTACCTTTTTCGTTTGAATTGACAGCTATGACGTCACAATATGGCGCCCCGTCGGTCGATCTTATTCTTAGTTGAATCGCATTATATATCCGGACGCCTGGTAACGAGCGTGGTGTACACGGGACATAGTTTAATTAAGCTGGCTTAGTTTAGCTTCGGAATAGCTCAGTTTTCTGTCTGCAACTCCCATTAAACCCAGCATGACACCACCAACATCACCAGACTAAGACAAACAAAATTCGTGGCCCCGCACTCAGGTACACGGCTCAAAACAGAGAACCAATAACAATGAAACTCTATAAATTATGATAAACGATTTAAACTTAAACACGATAAAAACAAATTTTCCAATAAAATTGACGTCAACGAATAAATCAACATTGTTACAATGAAGACAACCAAATTTATTAACAGCCAAATAAATTATTAACCTTTCAATTTGTACAATGTACAATAAAATTTATTGTCTGTAATCATTGCGGCTGAGCTTCAGTTATGTACAAACAACGTTAAAATTATTGAAAAGTTTTCAACAAAAGAAATTAAGATTTATACAAAACACGTTAAAGTTTAAACTCGGTAACGCGTCAATATATTTGATCAGCTGTTTAAACTTACTTAGATTCTTTTATATTATTTTTCTTTTTCTAGAAACATTATTATTTGAATATACCTACGGTAGATTATTGTATTTTTGTGGGAAAAGATCTGCTATTGGCGCAGTAGACATTGGACAGAAGAACTTGTAAGTCGTGTCCTGAAGTTTGAAATGATTATTAAATCTTTTCTGCTGTTGTGCCTGGCTTTAAATGTCTGCTTAGCAGGTGAGTACTTTCTTATTTATATAAATACTTAATAAATAAAAATGAATTAGTGTGCACGGACCACACAGCTGAAATGAAACTTCTTTTCATAAATAACCAAACATTAGGCGGTGCATAATGCATAGGGGAATGGAGCAGCGCACGCATCACTCTTATGGAGGCCATACACGTTAGGTTTTGCATGATGGTTTTAACCGTGCATTCATAACCGAGTTATGGAGGCCATACACGTTAGGTTTTGCATGATGGTTTTAACCGTGCATTCATAACCGAGTTATGGAGGCCATACCCGTTAGGTTTTGCATGATGGTTTTAACCGTGCATTCATAACCGACATGCATAACTGAGTTACATGCACCGAAAACTGTACAGTTTTATCACATACACGCTAGGGCTTGCCTGTCGGTTATGCATGAACGGCTAGAACCATCATGCATAACCTAATGTGTATGGCCTCCATTAGATATGTATGAATATATATATTGGAGCGTGTAACGCTCGTGACGCTCGTAGCGTTTCAGCCTTCGCCGTGTTACCCTCCAACTTTCATTCTCGTTGAAAAGTTGGTCAACAAAAGAAATTAAGATTTATACAAAACACGTTAAAGTTTAAACTTGTAACGCGTCAATTGGTTACATATTTGATCAACTGTTTAAACTTACTTAGATTCTTTTATATTATTATTTTTTCCATAAACATTATTATTTGAATATACCTACGGTGGATTATTGTATTTTTGTGGGAAAATATCTGCTATTGGCGCAGTAGACATTGGACAGAAGAACTTGTTAGTCGTGTCGTGTAGGAAGAGCTGCGCACGCATCCGACGCCCGTGACGCATTTCCGTTTCATCGTTTTCATAGGATTTTTCCATTTACACCCCGTTCGAAGAGAAATTTCACTTGAAAAATGCTGTGTTTTTAAGAAACCACGATGCTAGGAAACCTTTATAGGTAGCTACAAACATTTACCATTTGAATTAAATTTCTTTTTCTTTTACCGCCGACATCGGACACTCGCGTAATTCGTAATCGTAGACACAACACGTCCTTATGCAGTGACACCTGCGGTGCGACTGACGCATCTAAACGTTATTCCACCTTCCTTCATCGCGTTCTAATTAGGATACTAAATGATTTAGACAGTCAGAAGCCACACTTGTTCAGATTTAGGTTGCTTATTAGGATCCTAACTTCCTAAATGCTATTTCACTTGACTGAATTAGTTTCCTGAATGATTTAGAACTTCTGAATTTAGTCAAGTGGAATAAGCGCAATAGTGTGTACGTGGTTGGCTAACCTGCTGCGAGCGGTACGCGTGCGGTTTGCAGCGAGCCGACGTTTACAACTGAGCTACAAGCGTACATACATACCCGCCCCCCACGACAACGGCTAACTAGAGCCGAGATCCGAGTCTCAGAGACGCCCTCTAGTTGAGCCGACCCCCTCAGGTTCGAGTGGTCTGGAGGCTCCAGACGGAGAGGAGACTCCCCCCGTGGGGAGACGCCATCCGACTGGAATACCTCCAGATAGGCACTCGCCAATTCTCGGCTTGAGGTCCCCTTAGGATCTCGCCGTCCCCAAACCCGGTGACGCTGTAAAGGTCATGTGCAACCAACAGCAAACACACTCAAAAAAAAGCGTACACACTAGAACCTCGTCCTCTATCACGCATGTTACGGTTATAGCTCGCTAATACCCGGCTTAAATAAGTATTAAAAATGCATTTATATCCGTTCAAAACTTGTTTCATTTATTTTTAAAATTTCAATTGTGTCGTGGTTTCAGAAAACCGAGCCAAACTGACTGTGTGTATGGTCCGCGTGGAATTTTATCTAGTAAAATTTTCTTAGAGGAGCTAGATTGCGCAGGTGGTAAGCGCGTTCGGCTGCGATCGTTGAAGTTAAGCAACTTTCGCAGTGGTCGGTAATTGGATGGGTGACTAAAAATCTATGGCCCGTTAAGACGTTGGTCCCGGCTGCATCTGCAGTCGTTAACACCCGTCAATCAGCACTGGGCCTGCCCAATCGCCCTATTCCATCCATAGGGAAGGCCTGTGCCCCAACAGTGGGGACATTAATAGGCCGATGAATATGAAAATTTTCTTTAAATTGAAACATCTACCTTAAAAAAACGAGCGAGCCTTACAGTAGTCGCGTATGATGTGTAACATTTGAAATCTCACCTTATATTAGTAAAAAAATAAATAAAAAAAACTACAAAAGGAATAAGCCATTTGAACATTATGTTCTAAAATCAAATCAAATGGCGCGCGCTTTCGCCCTGTTACTTCCTGTTACACACTTCCGTTCCAGATCACGAAATCACTCCCACAAATTGCAGGAAAGCGAGAGGAAAGATGTTACACATCAAAAAAATTACACAGAAACTATCATTAATTCATAGTTCTTGATAAATATTGAAGAAAGGTGAATGCAAATAAGATCAATCGTAAGATGATGATAATGAATTTGATGATTGGAAATATTGCTAACATGTTTTGATTCAAAAAGTATCTTTACCTTAATAAAAGTATTTTAAAAATGCGTATCTTGTATCTGGTATTTCAAATACTTTTCCCAAAAGTATCTTGTATCTGTTATCTAAATACTTGACTACCTGGTATCGTGTATTTTGTATTTTAGATACTTTTTTAGGGTTCCGTACCTCAAAAGGAAAAAACGGAACCCTTATAGGATCACTTTGTTGTCCGTCTGTCCGTCCGTCCGTCTGTCAAGACCGTTTTTCTCAGGAACGCGTGGAGGTATCAAACTGAAATTCATACCTTATACTCAGGTCTACTGTCCCTTGGAGCTATGAAAAAATCAAACTTCTAAGCCAAAGCAATCAAAAGATACAGCCATTTATGCCGCAAATTTTCGAAACTCGCATGGGAATCAAAACCTACAGGGTACTTCCCGTGAACTTAGAATCTTGAAATTTGGTACGAAGTAACGTCTTATAGTACAGATAAAGCAAAAATTGCGAAAACCGTAAATTTTTAGTTACATCATAAAATAAAAAATATTTTTGAATATTTTTGTACGGAACCCTCGGTACGCGAGTCCGACTCGCACTTGGCCGGTTTTTGACGTGACAACGTCTTAAATTAGGTTGCGGCTGGGAGTCACTTATGAAAAAGTGTAACGCTCGGTAACGTTACGATGAGTCTCTCGTGTTAAGTTTAAGTTTACATGTACAATGTTTTAGTAAACAAAATATATTTCTATAGTTAAAATTTGTGCAATTCTTATTTTCATTCAATTCCTTGTTCCTATTGTGCAATTTAATTATATTCATATCAATAAATATTCTACCGAGAAAAAGACGCTGTCACGTAAAATCTTCGCCCGTAAAACCGACTTTACAGGCAACCATTTTTTTAATGTATTTTTTACATCTCTGATTTCTAAATAAATATACTTATATTAACCTAACGATAACAATTTTAACTTCCAGGCAAAGCCGGGATAATAAGACCTTGCCGCTTCTACGATCGCAAATGTATCGCTGACAATTTGAAGGCTAACTCGCGGTGCACCCCGATAGTGCGGGGTTTCGTGCCGAATCAGTACACTATTAGGAACGTGCGTTTCGAAGCGCCATTTTTCAACGCATCTTTCATAGATAGGAGTCTGACGATCAGAAACCACGACAAGTGCCGAATTTCCGAATTTTAGTAAGTACCTTTTATATAATTATACATCTTTACATATAAAACTCAAAGGTGACTGACTGACTGACTAGAGATCTATCAACGCACAGCCCAAACCACTGGACGGATCGGGCTGAAATTTGGCATGCAGGTAGATGTTATGACGTAGGACAAAAAAAAACAAAAGAAAAAAAGAAAGGATTTTGATCAATTCTACCCTCAAGGGGATAAAATAGAGAATGAAAGTTTGTATGAAGCTTTGTCAATTTTAAACCGATCGGGCTGAGAGTTTGCATGCAGGTATAAGAAGAATCATAGATGAATGTCAATGTGTATAATACAAGCCTGAAAACAAAAACTGTAGTCTACACTTCAGCTCTACACCGAAGCGAAGCGAGGGCGGCCGGCGGGCCGCTAGCCTATACATATAAATAAAATTGGAGGGTCTGTTTGTAATATTGAATAAACCGCTTTTTACTACATGCATATGAATATTTATACGGCGCATACACCAAAATATCATTTTTTTACAATTTTTGTCTGTCAGTCTGTTTGGACTGTTTGTTCCGGCTAATCTCTGAAATGGCTGGACCGATTTTGAAGGGACTTTTATTGGCAGGTAGTTGATGTAATTTTAGGATTAACTTAGGCTACTTTTATTTTAGAAAAAATATTTATTTTAGAAAAAAATAACTGGCCTGACTGTTTGGACTGTTTGTTCCGGCTAATCTTTAAAATGGCTGGATCGATTTTGACTGGACTTTTATTGACAGGTAGCTGATGTAATAAGGAGTAACTTAGGCTACTTTTATTTTAGAAAAAGTCTTTTATTTTAGAAAAAAAAATGAAAAAAATTAACCCGAACGAAGTCGCGGGAGGCCGCTAGTCTTACATATAAAATTCTCGTGTTACAAAGTTAGTTACCAAACTCCTCCGAAACGGCTTTACCGATTTTTATGTAATTTTATTATATGCATATTCAGTAGGTCTGAGAATCGGCTACTATCTATTTTCATACACATAAGTGATAAGGGTTGTCCACCCCTAACATTTGTTTTTTATTTTTTGGACAATATTTTAGGATTTTATAATGTGGCATTAAAAAATACATACAACCCTAAATTTTCACCCTTCTACCACCAGCCCCTATTTTTATGGCGGTACGAAGTTCGCTGGGTCAGCTATTTAATTTATATATTTTACTAGCTGACCCAGCGAACTTCGTACCGCCCTAAAAAAATAGGGGTTGTCCAGCGGACAAAATTGTGAATCTAAACCATTCTCAGATCCCCTTGAGACAAAAAATTTCATCAAAATCAGTCCAGTCGTTTAAGAGAAGTTCAGTGACGTACACACTCACAGAAGAATTATATATATAAAGATATGTACATTGTACACACATGCCCTCATTCGTACACACATATATACACACACACACACACACAGTTTCATAAAATTTTACACAAACCTTTCGAAATAAATTGAACTGTCACCCACAGGTCCGGATTTAGGGAGGGCGCAGGCGTGACAGTGGCTTAGGGCTAGGGTTGCCACCTTTTTTTTGTTCTAATAAAGTACATTGGATATTAAAAGTAGATAAAAAGTACATTGTGCCAAAAAAAGTACTTTTTAGTCCACTTTATTAGTAAGCTTAAAAATATATTTGCGTAGCGTTGCTTCCAGCAACATATAATAAATAATTTGTGGATACTAAAAATCTGTAGTTATTATCCGCAATGGGAAAGGTTATTGTACAAAGCCATTCAGCCACGACAATGTTGCAGGGATGAGCTAAGTGCGACATACTATACGTACTGTCGTTCCGTTTCACGCAAATATTCTTCCTATCAACCTCTTTTTGCATATTTTATGTAAAATGAATCCCCGAGTAATTAAATCACATAAAATAAAGTATTTTCGCTTACTTTATTGTTGGCATAAAGTATAGAGTACATTCACCCGAAATAACGTACAATACTAATAAAGCACGGGTGGCAACCCTACCTAGCGCCCCCGCTCCTTCGTTGCCCCAGGACCTCTAAATGCGGCCCCGTTCACCCATATCAAGTAGATCTTTATCTTGTAAAGTCGCCTTTGGTAATGAGCAAATAAAAAATTAACTTCTTTATCATTTTTCTTTTAGCTATAACGTGCCTACTGACTCCTTGGTCCTGTCAGTCGACTGCCCAAACCTGGTCCTGGAGTCGAATCGTACCCTGATACAGCACAGGTCCAAGCAAGAGGACTCATGTTACAATTACCATATTTGTGGGACATACCGTGAGTGTTTTGTTTTAATGTTCAAATAATGAAGAATGCCATCCGCCTGCAATACCTCAAGAGGCACTCGCCAATTCTCGGCTTAAGGTCCCCTAGGATCTCGCCGTCCCTAACCCGGTGACGTTGTAAAGGTAACCTGCGACCAACAGCACACACACTCAAAAAAAAGGCCGACGGACACACACAGCCAGACCCGTCTTTCCCAGTGGGAACTTTGGGCAAGTGCCAGGGCCCCGTGATCGATAGGTGGGCACCTCAGATCACAAATACAAAGTCCCTAGTTCTTGTTAGATCACCAAACGGGCGTCATAGGGCCTCCAACATCCTAATATGCTCAGGACCTCCAATAGGTCAAAGACGGCACCGCACACAGCTTTCAGATACATGTGTGCAGGATTTGGCGGTGTGTGTGTGCGGTTTATGTGTGTTTTTTATGCATATATAAGTCGCAGCACGAAACTCTAGCGCTGACTGTTATTGCGCAGATTGAAAAATTAAGATGTCTTGGGGGGAAACAGAGGTGCGCGGGTGGGCGTGCGTTGCGCTGATTGGCTCTCCAGTCGTATCCATGCGCAGCTATCCCCTCCGCGCTTTGAACAGAGCTAGAGTAACGTGCCGCGACCTGTAGGTCAAACTGCATTTGTGTGCATATCTCCCCCGCAAAAATGGCAGCATGATTGAAATAGTGTTAATATATCGCTATTGTTACTACTTATTGCTTTTCGTGTTGCTCTGTTCTTTTTTATGTTAGTGTCGCCGCACACGGGCCACCGAACACAACCACAAAACGCCGCCATCGGCATATTTCTTGTAGTTTTCGTACATTTTATGTGGGCTCGCCACACACGATACGCCGGTGGCCGCCACACGCTACGAATCGTCGTTGCTCGCTTCTTGTGCCCCGCACAGGCCAGTTAATGCGCCGAAACAAAACGCCGCCACACGTCACTCGCGTGATCACTCTCCCACCCCTTACCTTAGTCGGCCGCTGTCGCGCGCTTCAACCACTTTAGTAGCCGCTTCAAACTTCTCGTCGCGGCGTTTGTTGCTGTGGCGTATGGCAGGTGTGCGGCGACACTTAAAAGGGTAGAAAACAAGCGTATGTCCCGCTTGATGTTAAGCGGCCACCAAGCCTAGCGTTTTATTGCTTGCGTGTCCATGTCCGTGTCCAAAATATACGGTGTTCGGCATGTCCGGCTTTTGTAAGGCTTTTAACATTTCGCAAACGAGCGAGCGCTGAGCGCAATCGAGTACATTTTCTGTCTTTTAACATATTTTTTTGTCGTACCTTATATTACCGAGTTACAATATCCTTAATAATGTAGGGTGTCCGGCCTATTTCCCTAAATGTCCGGTCAATCTGGCTGGTCTGTCCTCCTATTAGGTTTGGCGATTTGGTAACCCAAACCAAGCCCTTAGATAAACGTTTACGATACAAAAAATATCACTCGCACCGTTGCCTACCCTGCGTAGATCCAATTCCCTTACCCTAAGTGTCGCTGCACACGGGCCACACGCCACAGCCACAAACGCCGCCACGAGAAGCGGTTACTAAAGAGGCTGAAGCTCACGACAGCGGCCGACTAAGGCAAGGGAGAGAGGGGTGGGGAATCGCGCGAGTGACGTGTGGCGGCGTTTTGTATCGGCGCATTAAGTGGCCGGTGCGGGCCACAAGAAGCGAGCAACGACGATTTGTAGCGTGTGGCGGCCACCGGCGTATCGTGTGTGGCGAGTCCATATAAAATGTATGAAAACTACAAGAAATATGCCGGTGGCGGCGTTTTGTGGTTGTGGTCGGTGGCCCGTGTGCGGCGACACTAAGAGCCCTAGAACCTTACTCAGTGACAGAAACACGACACCACCAACAGGTAGTGTTATTTTACTGTGATCTTCTGTAGGGAGAAGGTTACTTCCCGAGTCGGGCGCTCCAATGCGAGCGGCAAATCCGCTATGCCCTACCTATCTTAAATATGTAAAAAAAGTAATGATAAATATAAAGAATGTTTACCTTCTTAACAGCGCTGATCCGACTCACAGCTCACATACGAGACGCTGACAAGCTGGATTTGTGTTCATCTTTCGTGTTCGGTGACGTTACAGAATTGCCGATATTCGCAATTAATCCACTAGGTAAGCCATGTTCAATTGTATCTAAAACGTTTTTATGTATAACGACCTCTGTGGTTCATCATCATCATCATCATCAACCCAAGCTCGTCCACTGCTGGACATAGGTCTCTCCTAATGGACGCCACTGCTTCCGATTTTCTGCCACTCTCATCCAGCCCACTCCAGCCAGCCTACGAATGTCAACATTCCGTCTTGTCCCAGGGCGTCCTACACTACGTTTACCAAGTCGTGGTCTCCACTCCAGAACTTTCCGGCTCCAACGGCCGTCAGTTCTGCGGCTAATGTGACCTGCCCATTGCCAAGTGGCAATGACCGAATTGCAAACTGGAGTCAGTTTTAGTAAACTGTGTTCGTGTGACACTCGTTACGTGACGTATGTATGTATATAATTTTATTTGTTTTCGTTTCCACAGATAAGAAAACCCAGAATTTCCTGTCCCGCGATCTGACGCTTCTCAACGTGTTCGAAAGGGAATGTATCTTCTACCGCGCACATTTCCTCATGTGTTATTTCATTAACTCATTATATTGCAACTTTGGCTGCAATTAGAACCTCAGTACTGACGAAAAATAAAATAGGTTCATTACAAAACCCCTTTTTAGCAACTGCTGAATACTGTAGAAGGCAAAGCTGGTAAAGTTAGTTTTTGTTTTTTTTTTTAAATAATGGCGCCCATTTTTTAGACTCCATTTTGTTTGTTGTACGTTGACATTATTTTTATTGTCTTTGGACATTCTTCGGACGATGAACAATAATGAGTGCCAAATGAATTATCAAAGTTCACTCCTGATTTATTTTTACTTTTAATGTAAAAATAAACACATTTAGAATACTAAATACCTTCTATGTCTATGAATTTACGAAATAACCTCTTTCATATTTTTTTTATCTTTATTATTAATACAATGCTGAACACACAAAAGAATTAGTTTTAATTGTCCTAATAACCATAAAACGTCCTACTTACATAAAATTAATATCCATAAATTCCCATCGCATTACCATTACCAGATTGTTATATACCTACAATTTGTACAAATTTATAAAAAAATCGTTAAAAATAATGAAGTTTTTTATTTTCCGTCATCCACTTGTCGCTAACATCAGCGTTGCCAGACGTCCCGATTTTTAAAACAAAATTAAATGTCCAGCGCGTGGCCGGCTCAATCCTGCTTTTCGGGATTAACTCGAACTCTATTTAACGATAGGGTAAATCTGATTTGAAATATCATGTTTTTATTAAAATACATTTTCCATGGGTATTTTTACTAGGTACCTATCTATTGTCACGTAAACGTAATTTGAATTCAAATAAAAAGATAAATATTCAAAACCTTTTGATTATTACGTTTTTTTACTATTCTTTCCCGTTTTCGACGAAAGAATCCCGCTTTTGACGAGACAACGTCTTATAATTCGATGGAGCCGACTGCACGCACGCATAACTCATGCGGCGTTAGCTCGCTCTGAGGCCATTTAAGGCTTGAAGTGCAAGTGAAAGCGCGCAACGAGCCACAAAGAGGCACATTCGGCCTCCACGTTCGGCAGCGTTCGACATCTTTCTCTCTCCTACTTGAGTGAGCGATGCGTCCGCGTGGACAGCTGCTATACAATAATACATTTACATGTTTTCGTCAAGTACGAAGTGCAGTAAAAAGTGAATGTGGTATCAATTGTTTATAGCAACGATAATTGCGGCACATGTTTTAAAGTTGTAACATAATTGCTCAAAGCACATTCATACTTGTAAAAACACGTTCAAGTATCGTCAGTAAACCGACTTTACAGAAAACCGATTTTTTCACTCAAAATGTCAAAAAAAACTGGCAACGCTGGTTAACATCAATAATGTAAATAAAAGGCATTATTTATGTTTTTTCATAATGTTTATTCGTAAAAATCATCACATCTTGGAACACTATGCTTTACTACTTTCTCAAAGGCAAAGCTATCTGTCATTTATATATCTATTAAAGTACAATGGACGCCGAACATTAAATTGCAAACTCAATAATAAGGAAAGTAATTTAGGGCATATTTTTACCAATGTAATGCTGTAGATTTTGGCATGATTCTCTAAACTTAAAACTAAATTTAACATCAGTCTTTTATTTTCATACTGTATAGAGAATGACAAGAATACACTGGTGTCGACTCTGGCGTGATTCTCTAAATCTAAAATTAAATTTGATAACAACTGTTATCAAATTTAATTTTAAACGATTCTGTGTAGAGAATGAAAAGTAGAGACCAAAGAGTAAAGTAAGTATACCAAGTAGAGACAGGTGTCGATTCTAGCATGATTCTCTAAACCTACACTTAAAGGAGATTGCTCAGCTTCCATACATGTCTAACCTAAAGACCAATAATCATGAAAAATTGTTTCCTAGATTCGAAATTATATATAAATTACTGTAGAAACGAATATTATTGACGGACACCCCTGAGAACTTCTATAAACCATATACACTGAACATATTAAAATAATAAAAAACAAATAAGTTATATAGTAAACTAGGGAAATCAAGCCAAGTACCGAAATTATGGATTAGATTCAGGTATATAAGGCGTGTACATTAACAGATAGTTGCCTGTTTTTAAAGTTAATGCTTAAGAGTAACTTTTAAAATCAGGTGTCATTTCCGGTTATAATAAAGTACTCTGTGACAGAAACTGTGTGATGATTGTGAATGAGCCACAGATTATAGAGAATTTTTAAACTCTCGTTAACCAAAGAAAGCTAAGAGATTAAGGTTCTATAGCCATATATTCAGTAGCTTCATTATTTTTGTTATGTTTTTAAGATAACCATATTTTAGATTTTTAGTGTATCACACATTATAATTTTATTAATTTATTAATTTATAGTCAGGGAACGTAGGCCCATAGATAGATAGATACCTTAAAGTCTAACATATTTATAGATTATAATGTGTTTATGGAGGTGTTTGGCGAAAAATGTATGGCAATGATGTCGCCTACCATCTATAATAATTGTCTAAGCACATTTGCATCTAGTGAAAATGATAATATAGTTGTGGATATTAATACCACAGTGTAATAAAAAATATTATTTATTTTATCGATCTTTACAAATTAGATTTGTTTTTATGTTATATAAACAACTTCGATCAGTCTTTGGCTGAATGTTACTACACCCATAGCCATTAAAAATGATTCGTATGTTTACCAAACCGGTAAAATTAAAAGTCCTTTTTAAAGTAAATATATTATACAAAGGTGTCCGTTGAAATCTAATAACTGTAAATTAAATTATAAATTACGCCAAGAATTACCGTGTATGTCAGTATTTTTTGTGCATTTAGGCCAATTTGAGCAATATCCTTTGACAACAGTGTAGCCTTGTCATTCTCTATACAGAATAAAAAGGACAGAAAGATTATAAACTTAGTTTTAAGTTAAGAGAATCAAGCCAGAATCTACACCACTGACGCTAAATTTAGTTTTAAGTTTAGAGAATCATTCCAGAATCAACACCATTGTATGCAAATATAATAGGTAAAGATAGCGGCATACTTCTCGAGCCAAACCATATACAAATAAACTAGCGCAGTAGACTTTTTGTATGTAAAATTACTCTTAATAACATAGAGGTATAAGAATAGAGTGGGGAAGGCGGCTCTAAACGTGTCCCTTTAATAGAAAGAGAAAGAAGCTGTCTCACTCTCTTGTGACGCATGGCATCCAATGGCATCACATCGAAATAGAAAGATTCTTACGGATGCGCATGCGGGATTAGAGAGGGAAAGCTAGCGGGGTCTTATCTTCTTTCTCTTTCTATTAGAGGGACACTTCCACTTGTAGTAGAGTCTATATCTCCCCTACTCTTTAATATCTCTTTGACTAACTACCTCAGCGGGTAGACAAGATCCAACTATGTATTTACCAATTTTAATGTCCACAGTTCAATGTTGACGTCGATGTTGCCATAAAATCTGTATTGTCATCATTAAATATTTGGATTTAAACAATGATGGAAAAATATATACTTGTATGTATACTACATTTTAGGTACTCTATGGCTACTGAAATTACAGGCATTTCTTTGTTCTTATAACGTACGCTATATCAATAAGTGAGACAGCGAAATTGTTCAACATATGTAACATATTAGTTCGTTACAAATAATTTTAAACATAAGAACATGGTTTCGATTATTTAATCTATGAGTGAAGGAAAATGCTATACATATACCTAAGTACTTATTTAAAAAAAAAACAAGCGAGCCTTACAGTAGTCGCATATGATGTGTAACATTTGAAACCTCACCTTATATTAGTAAAAAAAAGGAATAAGCCATTTGAAAATTATGTTCTAAAATCAAATCAAATAGCGCGCGCTTTCGCGACTTCCTGTGTTACACACGTCCCATTTCACGAAATCACTCCCACAAATTGCAGGAAAGCGAGAGGAAAGATGTTACACATCAAAAAATCGCTGCGTAAACATAAGATATCAATATAATATATATATATCTGTAACAATTTATCTTAGGTATTTTAAGCATGGAGGTATAAGAATAGATTGGGGAAGGCGGCTCTAAAAGTGTCCGTCTAGTAGAAGGAGAAAGAAGACGACAGACGGCTAGCTATCTCTCTCTTTTGTGACGCATGGCATCCAATGGCATTACATCGGAATAGTACGATGCTTACGGTTGCCAATGCTCATGCGCGATTAGAGAGAGAAAGCTAGCGGTCTCTCATCTTCTTTCTCATTTTATTAGAGGGACACTTTCATTTGTAGTAGAGTGTATATCTCCCCTACTCTATTCTTACACCTCTATGATATTAAGTAGCATAGTTTGACAATTTGTTGAATGTAGATACAGCCAGAGACTAATAACACTGTATAAATTTTACACTGAGAGCTAAAACGACGAAAAACTTGTTGAAACATGAAAACATGTTAATACGTACGTAATTAAATTACTTATTAATGTTTTTATAATATTGATGAGAGCTTTTCAAATATAGGTATATTTAAATATTATTAACGTACTTTTAGTAACGACTCGAGAAATGGACGATTCATATGATTCTATGTAAAACGAATACAACGATCTCTATAATATGTAGGTAATTATATTATCTATTATTATTTGCCAATATCTAAGATCACAGATAAAATAGATATATGAATTTGAATCAACGATGCCTTATTTAAGCACTAAACCTTAAAATTAAATTTGACAACACTGATGTCGATTCTGGCATGATTCTTTAGAGAATAAATTAAACTCAAATTTGACAACAGTGCATCCCTGTCATTCCTTATACAGAATGAAAAGGAGAGACTGATATTAAATTTAGTTTTAAGTTTAGAGAATCACGCCAGAATCGACACCACTGTATCCTTGTCATTCTCTATACAGAATGAAAAGGAGAGAATGGTGTTAAATTTTGTTTTAAGTTTAGAGAATCATGCCAGAAACGACACCAGTGTCATTCTACATGTCATTTTCTAAAGAGAATGAAAAGGAAAGACTATGTTAAATTTAGTTTTAGGTTTAGCGAATCGTGTTAGAATCATAGAGGAATAAGAATAGACTGGGGAAGGCGGCTCTAAAAGTGTCCGTCTAGTAGAAAGAGAAAGAAGATGAGAGACGGCTAGCCTTTCTCTCTCTAATAGCAAAGCGCATTGGATGAAAAACTAACGGATGAATACCGACCAATAACCTTAGATTAAAACAAAAATGGTAGATACGGTACGCTCATACTTGCATCAAACAAAAACTGATCCCACGGCAGCGCGAACGGGACGGCGAGATCCGCGTCACTGCATTACCGATCCGAACGAAACAGCACGTTAAGTTTCAACGGCAGCGCGAACGAGACGGCGAGATCCGCGTCACTGCACTACCGACCAATCACGTGACCAGTACTCGACGTCACTACCGA